TATATATATATATATACTACATACTACTCGCATAGCGTACAACTACTCGCGCGACCCAGTATCATAAACGTATGTAGCGAATGATCAAACGAACAAGCGTATACAACAAATATAACATCGATCGTCACGAATGAACGAGCGAATGGACAATAAATGAAAATTCGTTGGAAACCGAGTGGCGGACAACAGCTTAGAGAAAAAAAAAAAAAAAAAAGGGTGAAATGCATTTGTTTCGTTTTTGATAAACAAGCGCTGAGTAAACGAAAAGAAGCGCGATCGTGTGGTACACATGTATATATATGACGCAGAAAAGCCAAAGAGTCCTGAGCCGGCCTCGATTTGCCCGCTGCGACGCCACATGTATACACACATTACGTGACATGTACATAATTCTATATACTTATGTAACATATACAACAATAATAAGTCGATGATGGTCCACGGCGAAGATAAACGTACGTATATGCGTGTGTATATTCGGATAAACGCATAAGCATATGCGCGCGTTTATGTATGTATATACGTGTGCGAATGAACGTTAGTTTAGCGGAGAGCGGCGCCTCGTGGCTGATGGGGTTGTTTGCCGAGCTTCGTGTGGTCGGCGGCGGCTCGCGGCTTCGGGCGCTTGCCGTGCGCCTTGTGGCTCTTACGGCCCAAAGGCTTCTTGCTGCTCTTGAACTCACGTGCGGCGCGCCCCGTTATATCAGCGTCGGCCAGAGCCTCGATCCCCTCGTCGTCGTCGTCGTCCTCGTCCTCGTCATCCTCCTCCTCTTCGTCCTCGTCCTCATCGTCATCGTCATCGTCGTCGAGCTCCAGATCGATATCGTCCTCGTCGTCGTCGTCGTCGTCATCCTCGTCGTCGTCGCTCGAGGCAGCAGCGGCCCCCGAGCTGGGGCTGCTCAGTGGTTGCGGCTGTTGCACCAGCACGACGGGACTCGACGCGCTCTCGGCCCCCTCGATGCCCTGCTCCTGGACGACGTTGGCGGCCTGGGCTTCGGGGGCCTCCTCGTCCTCGTAGGAGGCGTTGGCTGCCTCGTCGGCGAGGCCGGCTTCGGTTTCACTGGCCGCGGATGCCGCGCTCGCCTGCTCGTCGATGTCGTTCTGGACGGCCGGGGGGATCACCGGGGCGTTGGCCGAGGGGGCCACCGGGATCGCCGCGGCCGGAGCGCTCGAGGCAGGACCGCTGGATGGCTCGACGGCGTTCGACTCCTCGTCCTCGTCGTCGTCGTCGTCGTCCTCACCTGTGGATCACGAGTCAAGGGGGCACACCACCGGGTGTTATTCATCGGCATATGTATATAGGTACAACTTTGGGACGAGAGCATTGGGGGGGGGTAGGGAACAAAGGGCGGATCTACGT